AATTTAAGAGCAGTTGAAAACAGGAGATTCCTCATTTTCTCCTTGGAAACACTGAAGGATGGTGTTGGACTGTCACACATACTTTATCTGGGTGGACTGTAAGTTCCAATGGAGCTGCTTCTGCTGTTTTCCAGGCAAACCATACCCCTTTTCCACCAGCTTTCCCATTCCCATCTGTAGTCATAAGCACACTAGATTAGGTCATGCAAACCTAATTTAACTCTCAAGCAAATGGAATTTGTACATTCTGGGTTTGTGCCACAGTTACACAAAGCATGTATCAGAATAACTTAGACTGGGTGGGTAGGCAACCAGGTATTATCCAGATGCCCTGACAATTCCAAATGGTTGGATAATGGCAAAAAATTGTGGGAATTGTCATCCAAAACATCTGGAAGGACCCAACTCACCTATTCAATTCTATGATCAGACCACTCTGGAAGTATTGTGTATGGTTCTGATCAGTGTCCCTTAAGAAGGGTATGATAGAACTAGAAACAGTGCAAAAAACAAGGGAAACACAGATATCTGGAACAGCTTCCTTTGAAGAAGACTACAGAAGTGGAGCTCCTTGGCATGAAATGAGGGAGAGTAAGGGGAGAAAGAGATACAAATTCATCCATGGATCTTACATATTGTGGATAGAGAAGAGACAAAAACTAGGAATGGAGAAAATGCCTTCCATTAGGTCAAGGTCATCTATGGGAATGAAATGCAGAGAGATTTATTAGGGCTGACAGTGGGAAATACTTTTTTCACACAGCACACAGTTAAACTCTGGAATTTGTACAGTTGAACTCCGGAAGTAAGACATACATCTTAAGTCACCATGATCCTATGATCCTGTGGTTTAGCTCCTAGGGATCTTCAAGACTGCCTTCTCTACATGGAATCAACTTGTCTGGTGTATGTTCTTTGCCAAAATGTATAACACTCCCCCAGGGCAGATCACCAACAATGTTTTCTATGGTGCCTCCTGGGTTATGATCAACTCAGTCAGTGGTTTCAACAGGGACTGGATATGTTCCTGTAGGATCAAGCTATCAACAACTGTTAATATTGATGGCTCTTGTCTACCTCCTGAATCAGAAGCAGATGGCTTTG